GAGGGGGAATTGAGGAGAGGGAGGCGAGAGAGATTTTTTTATTTTTCTTTTTTATTTTTTTTTTTTTGATTTTCAAACCTTTTTAATTTGTTGCTCGAATAAACACAAATTTCAAAGGAATAAATAAAAACAAAACTCAAAATAAATTAAAATAAAATAAAATAAATTAACTAAATTAAAGCTCATTTCAGCATGGTGACAAGAAACCAGCTGATCGTTCTCCACAGAACACAGCTCTGTTTGAGTGCCATGTTTTTCAACTCATCTAGCTATTATTTACCAACTTAAAGAAGCTGAAAATCAGTTTTCAGTCTCGCCTTTAACATCAACTTATAAATAAACTGTTGCCCACAACATCTGCCGAGTCTTCCAGCCTTATATTTTCCTGCTCAGGTAAAATCGCCATTTGCTTTGGGACCAACAAAAAGTTCAATAATTGCACCTTTAATGATTTCACCTCTCCTGGTTGTACCTCGAAGCCACAGGTATGAACATTTGTTTAAAAAACCCCCATACAACAAACAAATCTGGACGATCGTCAAAAACTGAAGAACAAGAGACAAGAGTCGACCACAACCCAGATAACAATGAATAACAAGTTCTTGTGCACAGAAGGGACAGGTGTCAGCAACATCTGGATTAATCACAGAAACAAAAGCGTTGACAGCAACAGCACCGTGCAGATCCCTCCACTGTTAAATCACCCACCCTCTGTTAATGGTGTTTGCTACAGAGCTCACTCAGGTCTTCTGAGCCTCTGTCAAGGCCAGGTGAGTCCTCCAGGGAGTGTCCACTCCACCTTTCAGCTTGTATCTGGTTTTAAAACTTTTTAACTAGTAGGTAGTACATTGTTTACTCACCATGCTGCTCAGTTTAAAATCAGCAACATTCAGCTTCAACAACAACCGATCACAAGTAAAAACAGGAACATGTTCACATCTGGCAAGAGGATCGGTAACATCAGGCTGAATCAGTCCTTTACCAATTCAAGCCAGCCGTCAGTAACAGTTCAGAGGGAGTCAGCTGCTGTTTCCATCCTCTCAGGAGGAGAGACTGATCACTCTGACTGACCTGATCCCCAACACGTGAGGCAGACCTGCGGGCGTTTGGTCCAGGCGTGGGCCACACACCTTCCACCACACGGCCCAGCGTGAGGATCCGGGCCTCACACAGTTTTGAAGCAGGCTCAGGGCCCAGCTTCACACCAGAGACAGTCGGCTCTTTAAGGAAGCCAGAACGAAAGAGACACCGGCTCTTTGGTCTCTCCTTTACGGAACATCCCCAGACTCTGAAAAAGTCTTTACTTAAAAACATGGAAGGTTGTCCAACTTACATCCATTGAAGATCCATTAAAAACAGCGGACTCAGCCCGGACTCAGCCCACGCACACCCTCCAGTATGGCTCGAGCTACAGGTCTCCAAAGCAGTCAGCAGGTCCAGTCAGGAATCTCCGGATGAAACGGAGCCTGAAACGCAAGCCGCCCTGCTCGCCAGGTGGACCAGGACCAATTGTCCCCTTCCTCCTTGGGCAGAAAGAGGGACACTCTGTGGGACCCAGTGCAGACGGTCCCAGGTCCAAAAGAAATCCACCATGACAGCCTGCACTTCTGGACAGCAGGTTTACAGGAGGGTCCGTGAGCACCAGCCGGTGCCACAACATAGAGGACACCAAGGTTGTTAATAACAGGATCCGACCTTTAAAAGACAGTTTGGGTAAAATCCACTGCCATTTTTTAAGGTCGACCTTCAACTCTCTCCAGAGAAGATTCTCCCATGTTTTAGAGAGAGGGCTTCATCTCCGAGGTAAACCCCCGAGGTATTTAAATCCTCCCTCTCTTTCCACACGAGAGGCCTCCAGATAAAATCAGCCTGTTAGTCCGTCCCTCTCCAACTTGATAATTGCTTGCACTTTTTCCCCAGTTCATTTTAGCAGAGGAGAGTCTATTAAAATCACTCACAGTGTTCCTCCAGAACATTAATGTCATGTTGGCGTTTTTTATAAAACAATAAACATCATCGGCATATGCAGACAGTTTAAACAACTGTTCACTCCACGCAGGAAAAAAAAACCAACAACCGTGACCTTACATTTGCAGAAAGGCTCATAATGGCCAGCGCATTTAAACATTGTGAATCCTGCAGCCTGGTGTCACTCAGGTCCAGGTGTCTCAGGTGGGAGGGGTTGGACTTCAGAGCTGAGGCCACGACTTCACAGTGAGTCTCTGAGAGTCCACAACCAGCAAACCTGTCATGACACGTTCATTACACAGAGTCATTATGTAAGAGGACACTTCATATTGACTTCAAGCATGTGATGATCAAACAGTTTGACACGTCCTGTGTTGATCCATATTCTCTCTTCATCACTGGTTCAGTTCATCTGATCTCACTGTGTTTGACAGGAAACAATCATTCATCAGTCTCTCTCACACCTGCAGAGTTTCAATCCTCTTTCAGATGAAGAGAGAAGATGTGGTCACAGTCAGTCTTCCATAATGTCCACAGTCTGTCAGTGAGATCTGATCCATGTGGTCTCCACAAAGTTCCCATGAGGCCATGTTGATTGGAAAAACACTGTTTTAAAGTGACAGCAGGATATTTTCACTGAGTTCAGCTCAGTGAACAATGACAGTTGGTAAAGATGATCTGTGTTTGATACCTGCTGCTGTCAGCTTCACCATCATCAGCACGGTACAGATGAACACATCAGCTGATCGCACCTGTTTAATATTTCTATCATTTCATATGAAGACGTGCTTCTCAGATGACTGAGTGAAGTTTTCTTGTCAACACTCTTTTTCAGCACAAAAACACAAAGTGATAAAGTTGAATTAATGTCACCAGAAAGATGTTATCAGTCTTTAGGATCTCCATCTCCAGACTCATGGAAATGCTTTTTAACTGTTCCATTATAGAAACAATAACAGGAACTCATCAAGATTTTACCAATGAATTCATGAATCCAGAAACAGACGACTCCTCCTTGAACTGTCACCTTACCGTGGTGGAGGAGTTTAAGAGCCCTAACGGTCCTAGGAGCTATGTTGTCGGGGGCATTTTGCCCCTGGTAGGGTCTCCAAAGGCAGATTGGTCCCAGGTGAAGGGCCAGACGAAGAACGGATCAGAAGACCCCAATGAACAGAACAAACAAGAACCCAAGTACCCGGCCCGGAGGGTTTACCAGGGCCCCGCCCTGGAGCCAGGCCTGGGGTTGTGGCCCGTGGGCGAGCGCTTGGTGGCCGGGCCTTGGCCCATGGGGCCCGGCCGGGCCCAGCCCGAACCGGTTACATGGGTTCGTCTCCCAGTGGGCCTACCACCTGCAGGAAGAGTCAGAGGGATCCGGTGCATTGTAGAGCGGGAGCTTGTGGAAGACGTTGAGCGATACCAGCTAGATATAGTCGGCCTCACCTAAACACAAAGCGTCGGCTCTGGAACCCAAGTCCTTGAGAGGGGCTGGTCTCTCCTCTTTGCTGGAGTTGCTCCGGGTGAGAGGCGGAGGGCCAGGGTGGGCTTTTTGGTGTCCCCCAGGCTCTCTGCCTGTATGTTGGAGTTTACCCCAGTGGACGAAAGGGTTGCGTCCCTGCACCTTCGGGTCGGGGATCGGGTTCTGACAGTTGTCGGTGTCTATGCACCGAACAGCAGTTCAGACTACCCGCCCTTTTTGGAGTCCTTGGGACGGGTGCTGGAAAGTGCCCCGGAAGGGGACTCCATTGTCCTACTGGGAGACTTCAACGCTCACGTGGGCAATGACAGCGTGAACTGGAGGGGTGTGGTGGGGAGGAACGGCCTGCCCGATCTGAACCCGAGCGGCGTTCAGGTATTGGACTTCTGTGCTAGTAACAGTTTCGCCATAACTAACACCATGTTCAAGCATAAGGACATCCATGGTGCACATGGCACCAGGACACCCTAGGTCGCCGGTCTATGATCGACTTTGTAGTCGTATCATCAGACCTGCGGCCGCATGTTTTGGACACTCGGGTGAAGAGAGGAGCAGAGTTGTCAACCGACCACCACCTGGTGATGAGTTGGATCAGATGGCGGGGGAAGACGCCGCACAGACCTGGCAGGCCCAAACGAGTTGTGAGGATCTGCTGGGAAAGCCTGGCGGAAGAACCCGTCAAGATGATTTTCAACGCAGACCTACGGCAGAATTTCGATCGTGTCCCGAGGGCGGTGGGGGACATTGAGTCCGAATGGGCCTTGTTCCGCTCTGCTGTTGTTGAGGCGGCTGTTGCAAGCTGCGGCTGCAAGGTAGCTGGGGCCAGTCGTGGCGGTAACCCCCGTACCCGCTGGTGGACACCAGGGGTGGGGGAAGCCGTCAGGCTGAAGAAGGAGGCCTACAGGGCGTGGTTGGCCTGTGGGTCTCAGGAATCAGCTGACTGGTACCGGCGGGCCAAGCGGAGTGCAGCCGCGGCAGTTGCTGAGGCAAAAACTCGGACGTGGGAGGAGTTCGGTGAGACAATGGAGGAAGACTATCGATCGGCTCCAAAAAGGTTCTGGCAAACCGTCCGGCGCCTCAGGGGGGGAAGGCGGCAACTCGCTCACACTGTTTACAGTGGGGGCGGGGAGCTGCTGACGTCAACTGAGGATATAGTCGGACGGTGGAAGGAATACTTTGAGGAGCTCCTCAATCCCACCAACACGTATTCCGTGGAGGAAACAGAGCCAAGAGACCTGGGGATGGATGATCTAATCTCCGGGGCAGAAGTCGCCGAGGTAGTGAAACAACTGCGCGGTGGCAGAGCCCCGGGGGTTGATGAGATCCGCCCTGGGTATCTCAAGGCTCTGGATGTTGTAGGACTGTCTTGGTTGACACGCCTCTGCAACATTGCGTGGACATCGGGGGCAGTGCCTTTGGAGTGGCAAACCAGGGTGGTGGTCCCCATCTTTAAGAAGGGTGACCAGAGGGTGTGTTTCAACTACCGGGGAATTACACTTCTCAGCCTCTCTGGTAAGGTCTATGCCAGGGTACTGGAAAAGAGGGTTCAGCCGGTAGTCAAACCTCAGATCGAGGAGGAGCAATGTGGTTTTCGTCCTGGGCGTGGAACTGTGGACCAGCTCTTTACCCTCGCTAGGTTGCTGGAGGGGGCATGGGAGTTTGCCAATCCAGTCCACATGTGTTTTGTGGATTTGGAGAAGGTTTACGACCGTGGTCCCAGGGGCTCCCTGTGGGGGGCACTCCGGGAGTATGGGGTGGATGGCCCCTTGTTAGTGGCCATTAAATCCCTGTACCAAAGGAGTGTGAGTCTGGTTCGCGTAGCCGGCGGTAAGTTGGACCTGTTCCCGGTGAGGGTTGGCCTCCGCCAGGGCTGCCCTTTGTCACCGGTTCTGTTCATAACTTTTATGGACAGAATTTCTAAGCGCAGCCGGGTGGTGGACGGGTTTGGGTTCGGTGGCGGGAGGATCTCATCTCTGCTTTTTGCGGATGATGTGGTCCTCTTAGCTTCATCAAGCACCGACCTTCAGCTCTCGCTTGGGCGGTTCGCAGCCGAGTGTGAAGCGGCTGGGATGCAGATCAGCACCTCCAAGTCTGAGGCCATGGTTCTCAGCCGGAAACGGGTGGATTGCCCGCTCCAGGTCAGGAGGAAGGCCCTGCCTCAGGTGGAGGAGTTTAAGTATCTCGGGATCCTGTTCACGAGTGAGCGTAGGAAGGAGCGGGAGATCGACAGGCGGATTGGGGCGGCGTCAGCAGTGATACAGGCGCTGAATCGGTCCATTGTGGGGAAGTGGGAGCTAAGCCGGAAGGCTTAATACAAGCGGCCGAAATGAGTTTCCTCCGCAGGGTGGCCGGGCTCAGCCTTAGAGATAGGGTGAGGAGCTCGGTCATCCGGGAGGGGCTCGGAGTAGAGCCGCTGCTCCTCCATGTCGAGAGGAGCCAGTTGAGGTGGTTCTGGCATCTGGTAAGGATGCCTCCCGGACGCCTCCCTGGGGAGTTGTTTCGGGCATGTCCCACCGGGGAGGAGACCTCGAGGTCGACCAAGGACACGCTGGAGGGATCTCTCGGCTGGCCTTGGAACGCCTCGGGATTCTCCCGGAAGAGCTGGTGGAAGTGGCTGGGGAGAGGGCTGTCTGAACCTCTTTGCTGAGGCTGCTGCCCCCGCGACCCGGATCCGGATGAGCGGAAGATGACGACGACGACGTTGAGAAACAGACGAAATTACTATGTATTTTATTAACTGATATTTAATTTCAAATAATTTACAGATGAATATGAATCCATCAATAAATGTCAAATTAAAAAGAGGTTTAGATAAAACATTAAAATAAATACATCATTTAAACTTAGATAAAAAGCTGCTGTGATAAAACCTCCACCAGTTCTTCACTTGTTTGATCAGGTTTTCCTTCGTCTCCATCACCCAGAGGAAGATGAATCAATCATTAGACATAAACAGAATAACTGTTCATTAACTTGACAACTATAAACACAACTGAAAAATCTATATTCAGCATTTGAAACAGCTCAAGAACATCTGTGACAAAATACAATGGACACAGTGAAACTCTATTTTAAGAAGAAGAATTTTATAGTTTTTATCTGAAAAACTTCACAACTAATCTCCATAATGATTCATGATAATCACATGTGGACTCACCGAGCCTTCCTGCAGTTCCTCACAGCTGGGATCAGTCTCAGTCGTCCCTCCTCTGATGCGTTGTACTCCTTCAGGTCCAACTCATCCAGAACCTCCTCTGACATCTGCAGCATGTAGGCCAGAGCTGAGCAGTGGATCACAGAGAGTTTCTTCTTTGATCTGTTCTTTGACTTCAGAAACGTTTGAATCTCCTGATGAACTGAGTGATCCTTCATCTCCATCAGACAGTGGAAGATGTTGATGTTTCTGTCAGGAGAGGTTTTTGGCCTCTTCCTTTTCAGGTTGGTGATGGCTCTCTGGATGGTTTCTGGACTGTTCTCTGTCTGACCCAGCAGACCTCCTAAGAGTCTCTGGTTGGACTCCAGAGAGAGGCCATGAAGGAAGCGAACAAACAGGTCCAGGTGACC